ATTTTTTATTAAAATATGTTTTATATACAAAAAGTCATCATTTAAATTAAATATTTATCATTTTAATAATATAAAATATATGTCCTTTTTTTAATAATATATTGATTTATGTGTGTATAGGGTTAAATAATATATATTTGTTTTCCTATATAATGAATGCAAGCAATTTCAATTCAAATAGCAAAAAAGCGAATACTAAGACATTAAGGGGCATGAGGTTGCATGTTTGAGTTTGGAGGAGGCACATGTAAGATGAAACATATGACATGACACGGGTGCCCAATAGATGGTGACATGATAATGGAGCCCAAAAATGATGTGGTGAGTATGACTTGACAGTAAGTTGGCAGTAAAAACCCATCAAGTGATGATCTAGTGATGTAACCAAACAATTTAGTTTGCATTTTTAGAGACAGATTTAGAGATTAATATATTTTGTCTCTATTATTTTATTTAACTTTTAGAGTATTTTATAGTAATAAATTTTTATAAAAATTAGAGATAATATTTTTTATTTAAAAATAGAACACGACCATCTTTACTTAGAGAAAGATTGAAGATGGATTGAAAAATCTGTCTCCCATAATTTAACAACGCCCCATTTTGAGACATTGCAATTTTTGTCTCTCAATTCATCTCTAAGTGTTTAAAGATAAATTTTTTATTAGTTAGAGACAAAATTTTGAACATATCTAAACAATTTTTTTTTAGTTATATTAAAGAATCTTTCATATGAAAACCACTTATAAAATTATCAAGAATATAAGTAGTTAAAATAAAGTTTGAAGGTGGCCTTAGCCGGCTTAGTTAGTAAGGATGGGATATAAAATGAATATATGTTTAGATATCAAACACTCCTAATGTAACTAAAAAATATACATATGGTAAATTATAGGAAATATGATTTTTTTTTAAATCATAGGAAATATTCGGCCGATGCTATCTAATATAACCACAATGGCACCAACACTCCTATGTTAATAGGGAAGATGGGTTTTCAAGTCCAATATATGTGTGGCGGGGGTGTGTTAGTTTTTTTTTTTTTTAAAGGAAAGGAGTATAAATATAGATGAGCGAGTGCTGTACAATTGTAATTGTTATAGGAAAAGATGATTGATTTCCTTTAACAAGGTTCAATAGTTCAAACTTAAAAGGTGTGAAAAAAATAGGGGAGAATAACAACAAAGAACTCGTGAAAGAATTTAATCTTACAACCTAGGCAGATGTTAAAACAATAATTTCCCTTGGTAATTAATTAATGTTTACTCCCTCTAGTCCCTATTATAGGCACCTCTAATTAATTTATTGAAATTAATAAGAGGGGATTGAATTATTAATTTAATTCAAAAGTATGATAGACTTTCAATTTTATCCTATTTAAATGATTTTTTTAATTTACATTATATTTTGTCTTATAGTTAATGAATTTATATAGGGGTAATATTGTAAAAATATAATTAATATTATATCAAGTGTCTTATATTAAATATTAAAAACTTCTTCTAAAAGGTTCCCTATAATAAGGATAGGAAGAAGTACTTATTTTATAAAATTAAATTTTTTCCTAAGCCTTTTATTGATATTCTCCAAAAGAAAGTTAGAACTACATCCATCACAATACTTTAAAATCTGATTTAATAATACCAAATATCAAATAATTTTTATATCCTAAAAAAATAAAAATTCAACAACTCTTACCAAAACCTAAAGTTAAAAACTACAATGATCTGGTCGAGTGCTGAACTGTTAAGCCATTGTACATATAATGTAACGTGCAAATGCCCAAGGTGCTGTGAATCTTATTTTGTGCAACACCACAGTACTGACATCAAATATTTTTTGGGCCTGTCAGCATGTACCCCTCGCTAAGCAACCTTCACATGACACGTTTGTTTGTGGAGCACCCATGACTCTACAGGAAGCATCGGCATCCCCAAATTGCAAATTTGCAATTTTTTCTCTTTACAACCTGATAATTTGAGTCAAGGCTGACATGCCAACTAAATAATCCCGAAGAAAAATTTAAAATTGAGTTTGAGAGTTTAAAGATTTTTTTTTTTAGTTTGGACTTATTCATGCTGTCATAATAAGCCTAAAAAATCCAAACTAAACCTGAAACAAAAAGCTCAAATTCTTTTTTATTATTAATAAAATAAAATTTAAATGAGATAAAAATTAAAAGTATTACTTTTTTAAAATAAAAAATGAATTGGTTATAAAATTTAAAAAATATAATAAAATAATATTTAATAATTTAAGAATTTGGACTAGCTCGAGATATTAGAGCTAGGCTTAACTATTTTTTTATGTTTGAGTATCTTAGATCTAATCTAATAAGTTTGACTTAAATTACAGGCTCTATTTCTAATATCGTGCACAATAAATCACTTAAATTTTTTTTACAAGCTAACCTTTGCTAGGATCTAGATCCTTTCAATATCCTCCTCCCTCAGTGTCCCTCAGCATCCCAATCATAGCCATTCAATAAATATCTAATGTCTCATACTTTGCCACATCATCTCATGTAAAAATAATACTTTTAACTTGTTCTAAAGAATTCGTCTTTATATTTTTTAAATAAATTTTTATGAAATAGATTAGACCAAAGTTTAAATAAATCAGAATATAAGTATTTGCTTACAATCTGACTTACTTTGTAAAATTTTTTAAATAAATCATGCCAGAGTTTAAATATGTCAAACTATAAGAAACTATTTATAGTCTAACTTACTCTATAAATTCTCTTAATTAGATTTTTATTAAATAGATTGTGATAGAGTTTGAATAAACCAGACTGCAAGTATCTGTTTATAATCTAATTTACTATGTACATTTTTTAACATATTTTTTATTAAGTCAGTCAAGTCAGAGTTTAAATAAATTAGATTATGAGTCCCTTCATAAAAATTTGTAGGGTAATTTTTTAGAATAAATTTTAAAAATAAAAAAAAATAAAAAATAAATTTAGTGAAAGAATTATTTTTTTAAAATAAAATTATTTTTACATGAAATGATGTGGTAAAATATAAAATATTGAATATTTATTGAATAACCGTAATTGGGACCCTGAGGGAGGAGGACACTGGAAGGATTTGGATCCGCCTTTGCCAATGTGCACATATGCACATGCTAAATATGAATAATGCTACCAGTCACCAGTGACAGTTGGGTTAAACATCAGGACTTGCTATCCCTTGAATAAAAGTTTCAACGTGAGAGAACGGATCTAATTTGTGGCCAACGAAACTCAAGTCAGATTAATCTATAGTACAGGATATTAAATGGCTCTCGCAAAATGTACACACATATATAGAAAAAAATTAATTATTTAATTTATATAATTTTAACTCACTATAATTTAATCCTTTTTTTGTCAAAGTTGTTACTCAATTCTTATAATTTTAACTCTATTATAATTAAATTCTTAAACTTTAACTCATACAACTCAATTCTTATAATTTTAATCATTTAAAATATTAATTTTTATATTTTAGAAAATAAATTACAAGGATCAAAATTATTTTAAAATTTTAAAATTTAAAATTTTTAGTAATTTAAAATATTAGTAACTAAATTTTAAAGTAATTTCAATCTTTGTACTTTTTTTTCTAAAAATATAAAAAAAATTATAGGAACTGAGTTAAATCAACTCAAAATTCAGAAACTCAGTTATAATTAAATTAAAATTATATAATTCAAATAATTAATTTTTTTCTAATATAAATAATGATTATTGATGGGTACTTGTTACATGTGTTTTGCTAGCAGGGTTAGTGCATTCATCACACAGCACATATCGAGGAACAAGTTAACAGAAGCAACTGGCTTTAAGGACACGCCCAGTGCTTCAGTCAATTTCCATTGATCCATCTAATGCCCTGTAATGAGCACACGTGGAAGCAGGCTGCCCAAGTTACAAGAGCACTGTCATCAAATCATACAACGGCTCCATGTAATAGTCATAGTTCTGATGATTAATCAAAGTTAAACCTGACTTTAATACGCGTATGTTCTTTTTTGTGTGTACGGGTTTTTGTGTTTGGTCACAAAGTCATGATTTTGCTCAAACTGAAAGCTGACTTGAACCGTAAAAAGTGTACAAAGCATCCTCTAAGATTTTGCTTTCCAATTTACAATACAATGGAAAAATATCATTATGCTAAGAATATTTAATATTAAACAAGAATAAAAGATTCAGAAATATCATTGCAACATTAGTAAATTGATTTAAAAATAAGTTTGAACAAAAAAAAGATTATAACACCTTTGCTTTTCTATTTTAATTGCTAAGAAATCATTCATTAATTAACAAGTACTCATTCATATTTGACAAAAAATCATTCACTAATTAATAAGGTCAAAAATCTGAAAGATCTTGATTGTGAAAATAAATCATATTTTAATAAATAGTCATTCATTAATCAATAAGTACTCATTCATATTTAGCAAAAAAAACACTATTTAATAAGTTCAAGAATATAAAAAAAATTTAATTGTGACAATAAACAATTATAACTTATATTTTTGTAAGTAACCATTCATTTATTAATAAACATACATTCGTATTTAACAAGCAATTATTCACTAATTAACAAGTTCAAAAATATGAAAAAGTTTAATTGTATAAAGGGACAAGTATATATCATATTTTAATAAATAATCATTCATTAATTAATAAATATACATTCACATTTAACAAAATATTATTACATAATTGACAAATTTATAAAAAAGAAAAAAATATTATAATTTTTTTATCTAAAATTATTTTTAAATTAGTTTCCTAATCCTACATCTTTTGATCCTTATTTAATATTAAATTGCCTTAGAAGCCTTTGAATGATATTTTCCCTTTTATTATAATTAGTTAGATCTATCTAACTTGGGCCAAACCTGTTTGCTAAAGAATCTCTTGTTCTTGGAATGAAATTACTGATGCTATAGAAGCCAGCCTAATCGGTAGCTAACCGCGGTTTATATCAAAGTCAGACAAATAAAAATAAAATAAAATAAATAAAATTTCATAGCATATTTAGAATTGTCATGGTCAGATAATCGGTTTGTTCTTCATCGTCAATAAAACTCTGCTTTTACAAGGAAAGGGAGCAGAGTGATATGCAAATAAATACATCTGTACATGCTCCATAACTGCGGGGATGAGAGAAACCATTACATCATGTTGCCTGCAACAATTCTTTAATATCATACCCTTGAAGCTGTACAAAGAAACAGGAGAAGTGATCTTAACACTGATTAACAAATTCGCTTTACAACTTACTGACAGTATAATGGGGTTAGAAAATTATACCTGAAGGAAGGTAAGAAATAATATTACTCCTGAGTTCCAAAAGGCATGTATGGTGATAGGAGTTAGAAGGTTGTGAGTTTGAGCATATGAAATCCCCAAAGCAGTCCCTGGAGACATCACTTTCTGTTATTTTTCTTTCTAAAATGGTTGAAAGAGCAATTACAACTTAAACTATACAATAACAAGAAGACGACTTATTCCATTACATAGGATTGGGTATACAGATTAGACGACATCATTATACTCTATTAATAGCTAAACCTTTGGGTATATTGCTAACCAAAAAGTCTCTTTTAACTACTTTTCCGAGTTTTTTTTTTTTTTTTTTGGGTTTTCCTTTGCCCCTCTAGGCTTAAGACATGGATATGGACAGTTACAACTTAAAACTATAAAACAAAAAAATTAGCTTTCCATCCCCGAATCTCCCCACTCCCGGGGCGTTTTCTTTTCTTTTTTCTTTTACTAATAAAACCTCAAAATAATTCAAGGAAAACAAATATAGCGATTATTCTCCATCTATGATCTATCCAAGAAAATAATAAGTGCAGTTCTCCACTGCCAGTTCCAAAGATCATCTTTATCTTCGTGTATATGAATGATTATATGATACCTAGGACAAAAAGCTGTGGAAATTCTCCAGGAGTGAGATGCGCAAGGGAAAATACAGCAGCACTAATGATGATAGCAACTGGTGTAGGAACCCTGCAGCAATATCAAAGTAAACACGAGAGACTATACCTTTAATACCAAGGCCCACAAAATAGAGATGTAATTATTTTAAAACAGCCAAATTCTGGCAAGCACCTTGACAGGCTGAAACTTCAATATTTCATGCATAGGATAAATAAATATTTCAGTGTTCAAAAACTAATATGAGAAAAAATGAAGTCCTGGATCCAGCCAAAAAGCTGTACTCCACACAATTCTAACCATGCCCTCCTCGTTTTACATCTTTCACATCAAACCTTTATCCTACCATAAGATGTCCTCAAAAATGTTTAAATCCCATGAATAATCTGCTTTTATTTACATCACTAATGAACGTACAGCATTTTGCCTAATCATCTCTGGAGAGGCAAATTTATGATTAGAACTTTATAGGAGAAAAAAAGGTTTGATTCCAAAATCAAAGGGAACTAAATTAAAAAGGAATCAACTAAAAGGCAGGGCAAGAAATACCACTTAGTCAAGGATGCCATAAAGAAGCCTCGAAATACAGTCTCCTCAAGAAGCGGAGCGAGGATGCCTGTGATGCCAACCAGGTAAGCAGTACTACAATGCAAATGATCAATAAATATCTGTTACTCACGAATCTTTGACACAGAAGCTACATTTAAATGATAGATAAGATCATTGACACACCTGACATTTGAAGATCCAATTAATGGAAGCAAGCGAACAAGAGCATCCGTCTAAACAACAGGTCATAAAAGCCAATGAGAGATCCCCAGCTAAGTCAAACGTGCATGAATATTAAACTCTATTAAATAGATTAAGTCAGATTAGTCCTAGTTCATGATGAAGATTAGTCCTTCAAACCATGCGACATATTATGATTACAAACATCTTGGAAGAAAAAATTTAGGTATATCCAGAACATTATATATCTATAAGTATATTGAAAACTTAATTTACATGAGTGGCAATTTTTAGTAACAAGCTACAGCGTAAACAGCTTACAAGATAGAATCCAATAACTGCATCCACATCAACAAGAAATTATATCATGAAAGTTCTATAAATGTGAACCTCTCTTTGTGGGGCTTCACCACTAAAGAACGACATGGCAGCTCCTGTCAATCCAATGGCAACCAGGGCACCAAGAAGTCCAACTCCTGCCCACAACAGCCATCCCTCTTGAAGATTGAAAGGTTTTCTCCAGTCTGAATCAATGTTTTTACCATATATATAAATAAGCAGAAGAGCATAACAAACTCCAATATTCTAGATTAAGCTAATTACAAACAATCAATATCTGATCAAAAAAAATATGTTGTAGAACAATTAATTGCAGTTGCAAACAATAATTACAGAGAAGGTACAAAATTAAGTTTCATAAGGACCATATTGGATGGTATTAATAGTAGTTCTTGGAATTCATGTATAACAACTACAATATGGCAGTAGTACTAGCTGTATAAGTGTTGGACAATGGCTGTAATTAGACATTGACGGAATCTCTTTTGCTGCACAAACCTATAAGAGGAGAAATAGGAAAATACAAGAAAAAGGGAAACAAATTTATGAGGGACAGAACGTTGACCTTACCCCTCTTAGTCTTAAGGAGAAAGCCATACAAACTTAGAGTTGACTCAGGGTGGCTTTAGGCCTGTTTTATCAGAAACTTAGGTTGGAGACTGTGCAAGATTCTTTTGGGGTTTATAGTAGTTGTTAGAGTCATTTTGGAGATAGGTCATATTTTGTGTTTGGTTGAGGAGAGACCAGCATCTCAAAAGCCAGAGGGCATGCTCAGTGAGCATTGCTGTGTTCTTGTGTCTGAATTGTGGTTCTGGGTATTTTTGTCATGGGGAATAGGGTTTGACTCTAAATCAGTGTAGTGTCTCTTGTAACACTAGTTTGGCCTTTTGGAATCATTAATATCAAACCTCAGGATTTCCCTTGAATTTTTGACTGTTTGTTGTTATTTATTCTTTATTTTAGTTTATTAATCAGCAGGTTGCATCAGAAATGTAATTAAGGGCAGTAGCTGGTAATATTGCATGCTTTGTCTTGTACTTTAAATGCAATGTTTCTCTACATCAGAACTCTGAGTACATTTCTCAAAGGCTTTCTCTTCATGTCTCTTTTTGCTGAGTGGTGAACCTTATCAAATAAGTGACTAATTAATTAATAACACAGTTTCAAGGCATGGCATTATTCATTAAAAAAAAATATTACAACCTTTTTAATCTATATTTTAGATGAATTGAGAAGCTTTAAATGATCATACCGTATTTAAAGAAGTCTTCTGGGAGCTGGTAAGTGCTACTAATGCCATATAGAACTCCAAGTACAACAGCAGTTGTTATACTGTCATAAAAAAGATAATAATAAGTTGAGTAATGTTGAAGGAAAAAAAAAAAGCAAAAGAAATCAAAATAAACTGAAAAGAACGCCTCATTATTTTTAGATGGATCTAAGCCTATACTACCAAACTTAACATAAGGCACAAATTTATTAGATATGACTTGAAAATGAACTCTACAAAGCACACATTCTAGTTTCATACATTCACAAGAAATCTAGTTTTGAACAAGAAAAGAAATCAGAGAATAAGGTAGTCAATGATACGTAGACCTTTACGGATCACTCTTTGCCATGAACATTGCATATCAGGCTAAAGTATGTCAGCATCACATTGTTTGTGATGACCAAACCATGACAAAAAGGAACCAAGTTCAGAGGAAGTTGTTTCATTTTGCCAAGCACATCCCAAAAGTTCAATAAATAGGGTAAGAAATTAAGGGAAAATCATTCATACCTCTGATCTACAAATAGTATCCCTGCCTTCTCATCTAAACTTAGCTCTTCAGGACGAATCCCTAGATAAGGAACAGTTGTTGCCTCAACCAAACCTGTTAACACAAAACTGCCTGGGAAACAATTAATCCTTCAAATTGCATGACACCCATGCCCTTAGAGTAAGCAAAGACTAGTAAAGGCACTAAAACAAACAAATGATATCCAGCCTAGCTTTACATTGTTTATATTACATATTAAAACATGATAGTTATAGAAAACACACCCCAATCCACAAGCAAGAGAGGTCAGTGAAACTGTTTGCCATTCCCAAGGCACTTCCCATCGCCTGAGAATAAGCCATTTTTGTTCAGATTCCTGAAAAGAGTGTAAAAGAAGTGAGTTATACTTATATCTCCTTTGATATAATCATGTAAATAGAAATACACCAGAGAGGATTCTACTTAATAAGGGAATAACTCAAAGGATCACCCAAATATATTACCAGTGTGAATGACGATAATATGATCGATCATAGTACATGTGCAGTAAGAGAAATCATATTGAAAACAAGATAACTAAACAAGCCCAATTTAGTCTTCATTTTATCCTTTTTTTTTTTTTTTTGCCTCCTCAAACTTCAGAAGCTAAAAGAGAGGTGGTGCATATAACTCGAAGAAAAAGTAAGAAAACAACAAATAACGTGAAGAAAGTCGGAGCGAAAGCATGTACCTTTTCCCGAAATTCGGTTTCAGATTTGTCTCCAGCGCTGAAGAAGCAAACTGAAGGAAGAGCTCTTCCAGAACAAAATTTTAGCCTTGATTGAGATGGTGGGAGGAAGAAATTTCTACTTCTACTGAGAAGAAATGCGCGGCTTTGTTTTGAGAAGGTTGTCGACAAAGAAAGCTTCTGGGAACCAATGGGGAAGCAAGGGGATGATGAAGAAGCTACACATGTAACGGCTATTGAAACCATTATCAAAGACTACGGAGCACGAAATTCAATCTTTGTACCAAGGGTGTCTTCAGAGTATACCGATAGCTATCCTTCTTCAGACACAGCAACGCAATTTCACAAGAAATAATTTGAAATCGAGACCAACTGCAAAGAAAATTTCATAAATAAAGGCGAGAGCCACAACCTTGCACTTCGGAACAGTGAAGAACCACAAGCCAAGCGAATCAGACGCAGAGGAGAGTGCACGGGGGAGGTTAGGTGTGCGTCTTGCGTGTGGTTCTGCTTCTGCGTCTGCGGAGGAGATAACGAGAACCAGCGGAGTGAAGAAGAAAAACGCTGTCGTTCAAGCGTCAGCTTCGAATTCAACCACATTAAATTATAAGTAATAAGTATAATTATATTAAAACAAATTGCAAAAATGACAATTAAGTCCCAAAAGATCAATTTTATTCAAGATAAGTCCCAAAACATTCTGAAATACCAATTAAGTCCCCAAATCCTTGAGTAGCATTTTAATTTAATGAGAAATGATTGAAACACCCTTATTTGGCTGATGAAAATTTGAGGTTGCTCATTCTCTACTCTATCTTGCCCTGCAATTACTTGTTCATTGTCTCTTCCTTATCATGTTCATCATCTCTTCCTTGCCTCATTGCAAGCGAGTAAAGCTCTCCGTCATCTCTTCCCCAAGCTGTCCAATAAAGCCGTTGTTATCTTTATTCTAGTCCTATTTAACGTATCTTCTTTGTCCTAAGTGATCACTTGCTTAGGTCATTTATCTGTAATCTATTTTGGTCATTAATCTTTGATGGGTGTGACGTATTTGTCTTGCTGAAGAGTTTGATCTTCATCAACATTCACTATTTTGGTTATGCAGAAATTGCTTCTTCAATTTTTTTCCTAGAGTGTCTTAGCTGAAAGTGGACTATGTAGTTTGTACAAGTGAGGACATGCTCAAATGAATTTTAAGTTTGAAGTTATACATTGTACCCAATCAATCAAGTTTGCAACTTTGTAACTTTCTAATTTGTTTTCACAATTTTATTTCAACTTCTAATATTGAAACGTATTTGTAATGTTCAAGTTATACATTATACTTAATCAATCAAGTTGCCAAACAACTTAGGTACCCAATTTTATAACTATCTCGAGACAAATTTGTCACTAATTGTCAAAATTTTGGGGGGAAAACTATTGAATTCTTAATAAAGTTATTGTTGTGAGACAACGCTCCAGTAATTTGTAATTCAGATACCAAATTTTACAACTTTCTTATGAATAATTTGCAACTTCTTTTCAAAATTTTGGATAGAAGAACTATTAAATTCTTAAAAAAGTTATTATTTCATAATAATGCTTCAGTAATTTACAACTGAGACCCCAAATTGTGCAACTTCCTTACGAATAATTTGCAACTTCTTTTCAAAATTTTAGGTGGAAGAACTATTGAATTCTTAAAGTTATTATTCTAGGATAATGCTCTAGTAATTTACAATTGAGACATCAGATTTTATAACTTTCTTATAAATAATTTGCAACTCTTCTCAAACTTTTGGGCGGAAGAACTATTGAATTGTTGAACTTGCAAAGCTACCAAATTATTTTAGGACATGGCTCAAGTAATTTACAACTGACATACTAAATTTTGCAACTTCCTTACGAATAATTTGCAACTCTTTCTCAAAATTTTAGGTAGAATAACCTTTGAATTCTTGAACTTGCAAAGCTACCAAATTATTTTAAGACAACACTCTAGTAAATTGCAACTGACATATCAAATTTTGCAACTTCATTATGAATAATTTGCAACTTCTTCTCAAAATTTTAGGTAGAATAACTTTTGAATTCTTGAACTTGCAAAGCTATCAAATTATTTTAGGACATGGCTCCAGTAATTTGTAATTAACATACCAAATTTTGCAACTGCCTTATTAATAATTTGCAACTCTTTCTCAAAATTTTGGGTGGAATAACTTTTGAATTCTTGAAGTTGCAAAGCTACCAAATTATTTTAGGATATGGCTTCAGTAATTTACAACTGACATACTAAATTTTGCAACTTTCTTATGAATAATTTGCAACTCATTCTCGAAATTTTGGGTGGAATAACTTTTGAATTCTTGAACTTGCAAAGCTACCAAATTATTTTAGGACATGGCTCTAGTAATTTGCAACTGACATATCAAATTTTGCAATTGTCTTACAAATAATTTGTAACTCTTTCTCAAAATTTTAGGTGAAATAACTATTGAATTCTTGAACTTACAAAGCTACCAAATTATTTAGAACATGGCTCCAATAATTTGCAACTGACATACTAAATTTTGCAATTGCCTTACGAATAATTTGTAACTTTTATTTGAAATTTTAAGACAACACACTTTTAGTGATTATAGAAGATATGAACTATACATATAAGCTACATGTATTAATTGTAATATCCTAAATTTTTTAATCCTAAGCTTAGAGGTAAATCAAGGGTGAAGTAAAAATTAAAGTGGGATTAGAGATTTAAAGGACTAATTAGTATTTTGATTGGTTTGTGTGTTGTATGAATAGATATGGGTGATAGGAGTGCATTTCGGGTCGAAGCAAGTACGCGTGGTGGGAAGAAGTCTCACTGTGCCACGCGTCGCGGCTTGTGCTTCGTGTGCCATGGTGCATGGACTAGAATTTGACTTCATAAGTCGTGAATTTTAGAAAATTTTAGAGGAGAGAATTTAAGAAACACACAAAACAGAGAGAGGAGAAGGGCTGAGAAGATAGGTTAAGCCATTTTAGAGCGGTGGAAGGCGATTCAGATCGGTAACTTGTCAGGTAAGCTACGTATAACTCTTACCTTCCATTCTACACAAATTTCACTGAAAATGAGTTATAGAAAAATTAAATCGGTGGAATTTGAGGGGTTTGATTCTTTCTCGATAGTAATAAAAAGGTTCTTAGAAGTTAAATTAGAGTTTTGTGACTAGTTTAGAGCTAAATGGTAGAGCTTTAAACTTGGAGGCTCAATTTTAGGTCTTTAGAGAGAGAAAGTTAGGGCAAAATCTGTCTTGAGTGAAATAAGATTGGTTGAGGTGATGTAAAGTAGTAATTGGTTAGTTATGGACTTAGAATGGATAAATAGAAAAGAGTTTACGGATGAATATAGCCCTAAATAGCAAAAATGAGTTTTTGATCAAAATGGGCCAAATGACTAAAATATGTCAAATGTGTTCAGATTGGCATATTAGGCGAGTGAGTAAAGAAAGGAAACTTGAGATAAGCTTGTACGATAGTGAAAATCCACGGGTAACCTTTCTAGTGACAGAAGGGTTGAGGTAACCGAATAACTTCCTTTATTTGATTGTTTATTGTAACTGTATGCTAGTATATTATGTAATGCATAAACTGGTTTTGAATTGAGCATGTTTTGTGGCATTGAGTGATTGGGTGTGTAAAATAACTTTTGGTTGAAATGAGCATTAAAATTATGTTTTGTAATGTAAAGTGATATATATATATATATATATATGTTATATATAAGAAAAAGTAAATTGTGAAAAGGGAACCTTAAATGGTTTGAGAAAGTATGATCTGAGTGATGGGAGTTCACCTAAGTATAGGGGGTGATAAAGACTATATAGAAAAGTTTCCTTAGTACCCTGTTAGGGTACAATGTTGGAAACAATTCTTCTCAGTGCCTATTAAGATACTATGATGGAGAAGAGAGATTCCTTAGTATCTTTATGATACGAGTGGAAGTCAACGACACCCCATGGTGTATATTGGGGAAAACCATAGTCCGTATTGTGCGTTAGAACATCTTTGGTCGGGTGATTTTGTCACTGCAGGTGAGTTCAAGACTAATGAGAGTGTACTTGGTCTGAGATGAGCCTGTGGTTTCATGTCAGGGTGATTTGGAGGTTTGGTTGGTAGAGATCATGCTAGTATTTTATGATATGATAAAATACCCTGAGATAGCACAAAATCCTTCGGGATTGATGAAAAGTGAAAAATGAAATGTGATATGATGTAAATATTACTTTATGAAGTTTTAATGGTATACTGTATTTACTTTCATATTCTTACATGTGATAGTCAATAAGAGTGAGCTATTCTGTTACTAAGATTTTTATCTCATCCCTGTGGTTACATGTTTACAGGACTGGGAAGTGAGCAGGCCAAGGGAAGAGAGTTTGGATTGACTTGAGTTAAAAAGCTGTGTACTCTGAGGTTGTGTAAGGAACTGAATCAAAATATTATATATATAAGTGTATATGTGTTGTTTAATACAAAACGGACTTTGATTGGAAAAAGTTTGAGTTGAAATGGTTGTTTGCGTTGGTGAATCTTAAGCCAAAGAATAAATTATGAGAAAATGAGTAATTTGAGGGCTAAGATTGTATTATGATTATGTGTTGGTGAATTTTAAGCCAAAAGCCAAAATTATGATGAAATGAGTAATTTGGGGGCTAAGATTGTATTATAAATATGATTGTATATGTTTGTATATGATTGAGTTGGAAAGTAGCCAAGTGGGCTATGTTATCCAAGAAATGGCATAGTTTGTGAAATTAGTAAATTGTGAAAATTGGCCGTAGAGGGGTCAAATTTTGATATATGTGTATAATTGTGATTAATCATGGTTAATTAGGTGTTTTAGATCCTTTTGGACTTGGTTCAAGGCCTAGTGTGGTCTAATAAAAGAAAAGGATTGATTTGAGCGCTTGGGTGTGCTAAATTATTTTTAAAAAGTGATTTTTTGCACCCGGGTGTCTAAATTTTGATCAGACTGTTAGATTGTATCCAAACCTATCTCATTAGTTAGTATACGAGCTAAGTTTTGTGTGGGCGCTTGAATCACTCCAATCAATGTCGTATGTAAAAATGGTACACGCCGGAAATTCATCATTTTTTACAACAGAAAAATGGATAGGTGTGCCACGATGCATAGATGCACATGCCGTGGTGCACGTCACAAACAAGATGAACGTGTGGCTCTATGCCACATGCTACGGTGCACTGACCGTTCGCCGCGGCGCATGGACCAAAATTCAATTTTATTTTGTGTGCTGAAATGCATGCATTTGAGTTAGGAATTCTAGTAGGTTATGTCTACTATGTATTTGGAAAGTGTATGATTTATTTCCACTGTATTTTCTCTGATTGAATTGTGATTTAATTGATTTCATAAAGTAAGTCTTCAGCCGAAGCTTTTGAAATGACTTTGATTATTGTGAATGATATGAGGTAATGGTAACACTGTAGTCTTCTCTTATATTAAGTGGATATATGAGAGGAGGTTACATTAGTTCATCTAATGCATCTACACAT